GGGCCCCAGCTTGGGCCCATCCTCGGCCCCCGCGTCCTGCCCGGCCTGGACGAAGCCGCCCTCCTTCTTGGACTTCTTCAGCGAGCGCTGCCGCTCCAGCAGGGCCTCGGGGGACCCCGGCTGGGCCAGGCCCCTCGCCTTGGCCTCCGCCTCCGCCTGCAGCCCCGCAGACCGGTGATGCCAGTCGATGATGCGCGCCAGGAGCGGGGACTCGGAGTCGCAGTCACAGGCGCTGCCCTTGTAGCCCCAGTTCACCCACCAGTGGTTGGCGACGTCCTCGATGGTGGCTCTGCGGTCGGGGTTCACCATCAGCATCCACCGAATGAGCCCGCGGGCGTCTGGGAACAGAGACAGAAAGAGTCAAGCACTGAGTGGAGAGCGTCCCGTCCCCCTGGGGACCCCGGCAGGGAGCTCCCGAAGGCCAGGCCGGGTCTGCCCAGCCCCACAGAGGGCACAAGGTCAGCACCCGTGGCCCGGCAGCTCCTCGGGGCCCAGACGAGCAGCGCGTACTGACCACCACGCTCCCTGTGCCCCTCCTAGGACGGCTCGGATGAGCATGGTGCACGGCGGCAGGCAGAGTGCACAGGAGCTCACCTGTCCAGGTGTGGTGCTCATCCAACACCGGGCAGGGACAGCCCGAGGCCTTGGTCTCGGCCCGGGCCCTGGAGTCAGGCCCGATGAGCGCCCTTCTTCCCTGATGCCCTGAGCCACATGCAGAGAGCCGATCTGTATCAGCTACTCCGCCACTTACACCTTGCGCTTCCTGGAGATTCTCCCTGTGAACGTCAGCAGCCAGGGAGTTAGGGGAGAGGCGCAGGGGGGTGCTGTGGAGACCCCCACTCTTAGGATCAAACCAAGACCGAGCCCCCATCAGGCTTGAGTTCTATCCCAGGAAGCTGCCACCAAAGCAGCCATCCTGGCCGCCTCGGTGTCCTGAACTGACTCCAACTCTCCCCTCTGGTGCTCCTTTTGACTTGGGGAGGAGCCAGCAGTCTCCAGGACCAGATCCGGGGAAAAAAGCGGATGCGGACACCTGCAGGTGTGACGAGCTGCCTTTTCGTCACTCTCGGAAGCAGCATTCGTCATATTTTTTATCACACCTCGTAAAACACTCAGGAAAGAGGACTCAGCAACCGTCCCGAAGGTGGGATGAGGGGATGAGTGTGTTTGAAGCCAGGGGGAATTCTGAGGATTCACAACGATGTCTGCTACTTTCACCATCCGTTAACTTAGACACCTGCCCTCCAGCGCAGCCACCCATGTATTCCCTGGCAAGGCAGAGCCAGGGCAGGTGACCGGCCAGCCTCCCCGCCCACACCCCGGGGCACCCACCTGAGGGCTGCGTGGGCTCCCGGTACTCTCCGCTGCTGATCTGCCGGATGAGGTTTTTGTGATCAAACCCGTCAAAGGGCATCGTTCCGTAAACCAGGGTGTAAAGCAACACACCCAGCGCCCAGCTGTCCACCTGCAGCAGGAGGACAGGAACAGAGGAGCTGAGAACCACTCCCAGCCCCAGGAGCTGCACCTCACACCGGGCAGACAGTGACTGCAGATGACCTTGACAGCAGTGCTGGCGGGGCTGCAGCAGACCCAGTCTATCCAGAAACCGTCCCACGCAGGTTATCTCCTCCCTCCTCCTCTCTCATCGCACACACATCTACACACAGGTCTTTAAGTATTTTCTGTAAGAACACTGTGTCTTCACTTTTTAAAAATGATGGTTTTATAAAACTGACAACATATTCAGCTCAATATTTCCTTGATTTCATTCTATTGCCAAACTTTAAGCTTTTAAGACATACTAGTCATTACTGTTTCTACATATATTTTGTTCTATTGCATTTTGAAAATGTATTTTACTCATCTACTCCTTTCTTGTGATTAACTGTATTTGCATATGTGTTCGATATGTAACACACAGGAAGCTGAGTTAGCTAAAGCCACCTCTCTCCTTTCTTGTTTGCATTTTAGGATGTCAGGGTTTTTAATTAGTAAAATATATTGGCAATACATAGTAACTGTAATCATCTTGGTAACTGAGATGTACCTATGGCTTCTCGGTCACTTTCGGTCCCCAGCCCACTGCCTCTTCTCCCTTCTTCCCTCTTTTCCAGGTCCCCTTCCCATCTCCAGAGTCTGCCTCCCCCTTTCCTACTGTTACGGCTTGTATAATGTGTTCCTATAGCCGGATCCAGGGTGTGTGATACTGGTATTAAGGGTGCGTGGTACTAAGTTAATCCACCGATGGGTTTAGCACAGTGCTGGGTGTGGATGATGGGAAGGTACCCATAATAATGTGGATATCGGATGGCACCACCCAATAGGCTTGTAGTCCAGATGGGACAAAAAGGAAAGGGAGGCTCAGTGCTTGCAGCCTCCTGCCTGTTCTGCCATGGACTGTTTCTCTCTGCCAGGCCTCCCTGCCATGCTCCCGTGCCTTGGAGCCAGCCGACTGTGGACTGAAACCGCTAGAGACTTGAACTAAAACAAATGTTTCATCCTTTAACTGTGGATGTCAGGTATTTTGTCCCAGCAACAAGAAAAGTAACTAAGACACCTACCATCTCTCTTTTATTTTGCTCTTTACAGTACTTGTACTCTGGGTTTCTCTCCTCATTCTGTAAACAACAAAGCCTGGATGATTTCCAGCTCTGTGTGACATGTGGATGAGGCACAAGGCAGCTAAACGGTTTCTCCAGAGGGGTAGTGGGTAGATGTGCGACTGGGATGCGGGCCCTTCCTTCCTAATGCAAGAACTCAGTCCTTCCTGTAACTTGTTCAAATCGATCAGGGGCTGCAAACTCAAATCTTACAAAAACCAGGCAGAAACAAGCAAGAAAAGAACACACAAAAAAAGAACTGAGACAGAATGTGAAGGGTTGGGCTCAGACATAAACTGTAGAGTGCCTTCCCCCAACTTTGGGCAGACAACTACCCAGGCCAAATGCTGCCACGTTGAAATGCAGGCCCAACACTGCAAGGGCTTTTGAGTTTTAAAGAGAAATCGGAAACCAGACTTTTCTGTGAAATCCACCAATTATTTAATGTCTGTTCAATTTTTTTACAAAGACAAATGTGGCCAAGTAAAGCATGTTCAGTGGCCAGATCACAGACTGCCAGCCTGTGACCTCATACATTTACCTCCAAAACCAAAAAAGCTTTATCTACAATACCTAAAGAGTTGGTGACTTTCCTCTAGTTTTGTGTTCATATAATAGGGAAAACCTGAATTCAGTCCAAATCTAGAAATATTATTGAATATATTATAATATATTCATACAATCAGACATTGCATTGTCATTGCAAATCATGTTTTACTAATAATTGGGAGATACCACAATATAATAGGTTCATAGAAGGCAAAATATACACACGTATGTGTACTGCAGTATAGATATCTTGCCCTTTGTTAATTTGATCTCAATTACTTTTAGATGGTCCCAATTACTTTTGTACTCTCAATTATTTCTGAAGTGTAGATATCTACGTTGGAAAAGTCTCAAAGTCACAAAAATATTCAGTGCTTGTCTCTTTGTGGGACTGCAGGTAACTTCATTTCTCCCTAGGGTTTTTCTAGATTTTCCAAATGTCCTTAAGGTGTGTATATTATTGCTTTTATAATCACATGAAGACAAGTTTTCTTTGCTTCCTTTAGGTTTTTGTTTTTTGGGGGTTGTTGTTGTTGTTTAAGGATTTCCTAGATCTGGTTCTTGTCCCCCCGTCTTCTACGCCAGCTCCTCTCCCTACACACCGCAGGCAGCCCGCTCACCTCAGGCCCTCGGTAAGGCCTCCCGTTGACGATTTCAGGGGATGCATAGAGTGGACTCCCACAAAATGTTTGCAAGAACTTGTCCTTCTGGTACAGGTTGGAAAGCCCAAAGTCAGCAATCTACAAAGAGAAGCAAGACCCAAGCACTGAACTGTTAGAATCTGCAATGAAACCACTCGTACTACAGAGAGGGAAGGCACTTAGGTCACCAACTTCTCTCCAGTCCTGCGGTTTCTTCAGTGGACCACTCAACACAGCAGGGCCAGTGTTTCCCCCACCATCCACAGCATCCTTTACCAGACCTGCAGGCTGCATGCCCAACTTAACACTCTACTGACACTTCGGATGAGGCTCACCCTGTGAAATTCCACAGAGTGGCCTTCATCAAGAAACCAAAGACTAACAGAGGCTGACAAGGCTGGGGAAGAAAGGAACCCTTCTACGTTGTTGGTGGGAACGTAAACTAGTACAACCTCTAAGGACAGAAGTAGGAAAGTCCCCAAAAAACGAAAACTAGAAACTCCACTCAACTCAGCTACTCCCCTTCTAGTATCTTCTCAAAGAGTTAAAGACATCACACTACAGCGATAATTCACACCCGGGTTTACAGCAGCACAATTCACAATTGCTCAATCTGGGAAGCAGCCTGTATGTCCATCAACAGATGAAAGGATACAGGAAATGTGAAATTTATACATAATAAAGTACTTTTCTGGCGTAAGCAAGGATAAACTTGAGACATCTATAGGAAAACGGGTGCAACTTGATACTAAAATATTAAGTGAAATAAATCAGACCCACAGACTTAATTTCACATGGTTTCTCTTACATGAAAAACCCAAAATATAAATAAAGAGCAAGATAAAAGATAATAGGAAACAGGGGGATACATCTTTTGTAAAGGGGAAGGGAACCAACAGATGGAGAGTGTGGAGGACTAAAAAGAACTGAGATATGTACCGACTCCCCACAATAAATGTCACTATTATGTACTGCACACATATACTAATAGAAATAAACCTTTTTAAAAAGGAAGCATGTCCACAAAATCACCAGCCTGGTGTTTCTGATGAACAGGACAGTGTACAGAGCCCCCTTATCTGGCCCCGTGGGTGCCTAAGACCTGGGAGCGTATGAACCCCATCATTCTGTGGGGGGTTTTTTCTATGCACCATATCTCTGATTAAAGTTTTATTTATAAATTAGGCACAGCATGAGATTAACAATAATCTCCAACAAGAAAATAAAAAAATTAGGGGACTGGGGATTTAGCTCAGTGGTTCGGTGGCCTGCCTTGCAAGCGCAAGGACCCGAGTTCAATCCCCGGTACCAAAAGAAAATAAAACAATTAGAACAACATACTGTAAAAAATTAAATGCCAACATCACAACTCTTTCACTTTGAGGCCACGGTTAAGTAAAAGAAGGGTCATCTGAACACCAGCACTGTCATACGGAAACTGATAAATGGGATGGTCTCTGAGTGACGGATGGGCTAGAAGCATATACAGTGTGGATACGCTGTGCAGAGATGGTCTGCTTCCCCAGTGAGTCGGAGGGGTCACAAGGGCTCATCACACTTTGCAGAAAGGTGCAGAGTTTAGAACAGATGAGCCGTGTCTTTCTGGAACTGTCTGTACAATTCACTTGGGCTGTGCAGTACCGCAGGTAACTGACACTGGAGAGTGAAGCCTCAGATAAGGAGTCCCTGTGTAACAATGCATTTAAAAGTCATCCCTCTGTGGTTACCCCAAATCACAGTGCATTCACAGAGCCCCGCGTATCACCATGGAAGATGCTAGCTATGAAAGGACACTACTCTCACACCGAGCAGTCATCCTTTCCCTGTGTGTGACCAGGGATAAGATGCACACAGAGGGCCGAGTCACTGTATCTCACCCACACTCTGCCACGGGCAGCTCAGCAACTCTGAGCCTCTGTTTACTCATCAGAGAATGGGAATCCATGGTCCCTAGTCAGCTCTGGCTCACAAGACTACTATGAGGGTAATAAAAAACAAAAAAGCTAAGGCCATGAGTGTAAATGTGCTTCATAATCTGCAAGATCCGTGGGAATGACCCCCACCCTCCCACCAGCACCTGAGCCTCTTCCTGCCCTTCTCTTGTTGGTTTCTTGGAGTTTCACCTTATTGTCCTTCACCTCAGCAGCTTTCTATGTGTGTGTGCTCATACACGAGGCACAGGTGCACACTGCAGACTTGCACACATCCATACACACCATGCATGCACATAGTTGCCTTCCCTACAGACTCTGGGTCCCTGGGCAGCAGGCAGGACCCACATCCCCCCATCTTTGTATCCTCTGCTGCTCAGCACCTGCCCTCCAGCCACCCCATCATTAGAACAGCCATGACATTGTGCAAAGCACAAGACAGTGAATAGAGGATGAAATAACAGCCATTCGCTTCATTACTACTCATTGCGTAAGTTCCGATTACCTGCATTCTTCAACTTAATCCTAGCAAAGCTGCGTCTGGGCACCAATGGGAACGTGTATCCCACGCTACTGAACTGCGCATCTGAGAACACCTGCACCAGGTCGACTTCATTGTTTTGGGTATCGGACGCCCATTTTTAGAAGCCCCACTTAACGAAAGAAGAACCAGAGGCTAAGGGACGGGAACTGTTAGGCAGTGATGTTCACACCTATGTCTCTCCAGGCTGGGCCCGCACGCTATGCCCCGCAGGGGACTCGCACTGTGCACACCAGCCTCATCCTCACACACTGAGCCCGGCCCCCCACCCGGAAGAGGATCGCAGGGCGTCCCCCGGCTTCAGCCTATCTCTGGCTGCTGCTGCACAGACCTCAGACTGAGTGCGTCTGGGGCAGGGACGGGGGAGAGCACACGCTGTAGGGCGCACGCACACACTGGCACCCCTGGCCCAGCCTGGCACCTGGCTCGCTGCACGCACAGCCAGCCTGAGATACGTGTTTTTGTTCTGGCTGCTCTGGGCCCCCAGATTGATTGATGCTTATCAGCCTCTCTCTGTGAAGCTGTCACTGCTGCCGACACAAGATGAATAGAAACGCAGATTAGCCCATGTTCTGGGCTCTGGAACAGAAATGCAGTATTCATCCACTCCAAGTTCTCAAGCCCTCGGCCGCTCAGAGTGGGATCAGCGCAAAGATCCAATGCCACCCGGAGCTTCTGTCAACTACCAGCGAGAAGACGATGGCCACTGGCCACAAAGCCAATCAGAGCCTGTTTCCCCAATCCAATGGGGGTCCGAAAAGCACGTACCCAACTGTGCTGTGGTGAAGACTGAGGACATAAAGCACATGAGAGGCTCCAGCAGTCACTGGCACGGAACTGGAGCCACAGCAGTACTCGCCTCACATTTCTACATCCAGGCAGGTGATGTTTCCAAGACCCCTGAACAACAGACTTTACTCCAACACCAGAGACTCTTGGCAGCGAAGGAATAGCAAAGAATTAAATAATTGTAAATCACAAAACGAAAAGCACGATCCTTCCTGGATTCTCTCAGCGCTCAGAATGGAGTGAGGAGCAGGTCTCGCTGGCCGCGGGGCCCACGGTGTCTCCACACTGACGGAGAGCACAGGCAGCCAGCGTCACACACGGACTGAGCGGTGCTACTTGGCTCCCATCATATTTATTCTGAGCTTACCTTCTATTCACATAAGGGACACTGATTTCCACTTGAAGTCATTACTTAGGGCTGCTTTTTCCAATCACCATCACTTTATTAAGCGGCTTGAACTAAACAAAAATATTACATCAAGTAGCAGGGGGAACAAGAAAAAGCAAAACCCAACCGTAAGTGAAGGAAAAATTAAAAATTAAAATTTTGGAAAGTGAATTTAAGCATCATAACAAAAATAATCACATCTTAGAATTGGTTTCCATGTGAATAAGCCCTCAGAGATATCTACCTTTCAGTTTTCAGAGAGGGGCTCCTCGTGTCTCCCAGGTTCGGGGTGGCTCCCCAGCCCCACCTTGTTACAGAACCGAGCTGCGCCCCACCCCACGGGGCTGCTCTGCTGGCCTGGACCCTGGAAAGCCCGTCCTTCATGGGGAGCTGCTGTCACTAGCAATCCTTCCTAGAGATTGCCTTGCTAAATGGAAGTCACAGTCAAAAAGACAAATTAGGAGGCAATCATTCACATTTCAAAAGGATTAACCTCATTACACCCCAAGGAACCTTGAATGTGGTGCAGTAAGTGAAATAAACCAGACAGGAAAAGACACACGCTGTCTGATCCCATCTGCGCGAGGTCCTCAGAGGGGACAGATGCACAGAGACGCAGAAGGGAGGTTGCAGGGGACTGGGGAGGGGAAGTCCGGGCCCAACCAGGGTGAGGGTTCGGGTTCTCCAGAAATCCTGCCACCAACGAATACGCACACCTCGATAGGGCAGGTTTACGTCAGCCTGTGTGTGTTTTACCACCATAAAAAAAAGGATTCATCTCAGATTACTGTGAAAACAGCTCATCTGGTTTGGAAAAAAGGAAGCAATACCTCGCCAGCCTTAACGGCCGAAGAGGGAGCTGATGACGACAGCTGTGGGCCCGGCCAGGACGGAGCACAGTGCAGAGCAGATGGGAGACTTCGAAGCCACGAGAAGCCGGGGCTGGTCTGGCCTCGTCTGACCAGGCCAACCACAGGACCTGCCAGGTGACTTGGTTCCCCATCCTCGGAAGGTACTCGTGACAGAGTCGGTCCCAGGTGTGGAGAGGACCCCGCGCTGTCAGGCAAGTGAATTCGAACTCACAGCGCTCACCACCAGGAAGCCCCGTCACATGTGTACAAAACAGGCGCGCAGGTATGGCGAGCCACGGGCAGCACGGGGAGCAGCAGACTGGGCTCTCGCAGCACGGGGAGGAGCACCCGTCATCACTTCCACTTTGCGGATGGGGAGACTGAGGCACGAGGTGGCCAAGCAGCTCAGCCTGGCGGTGAAGGGGCTGAGGAGGAACGGGCTCGCTGTGACTGGCAGGGCAGACTGTCCCGCCCCCTTTGTGGCCTGCAGTTCTCTGGCCTCGCTTGACAGTTGCTGCTGTGCTCCTGGACGGAGCAGAGGGGCAGCGAGGGGCAGCTGTGGTCTCCAAAGATGGAAGCTCACCCCCACGGCTTCCTTCCCTTGCAGGGCTCCCTCGCATTGCTTTCCTGTGCATCCCCCGAGCCCAGCTCTATCACCGCTGCCCCTGGAGGCTTCTGGAGGCCCACGGCTTCCTGCACACCAGTTCCACAAGGGACAGGGAGAGGGAAGACTTCCTGGAAGGAGAGGCACTGAGGGAGCCCCAAAGAGGGACAAGCAAGGAGAGGTGGAACGGGCGAGGGGGACAGACGGAGCTACGCATGCTCAAGAGCCCAGGAAAAGCCTGACGGACTTGAGGAGTTCAAGTCCCATCAAGGGGCCACACGGCCCCGACTAGCGACGCCCCGGCCTCACCTGATGAGGGAGGGAGCTTCACCGACATTTACACCTTGTGTTCATGCATTGCTGCCCCCCAACTGGAAGCCTGAGCCCACAGGGCTCCCTCCATTCTGCGTGCGGACACAGATGCAGATATACACATGTGTGCACACACAGTGCACAGAAAAATGGACAGGCCAGCTGATTCAGGCAGGAACACAAGGTTCTCACACTCACAACCCAACCGGAGCCCTGTCCCAGAGCCTCTCTCCTGTGAGCAGAGGCTCACTCCACCACCTCCCCAGGTCCCTCTGCCCCAGCTCTGCCGGGAGGTCGGCTGACCCGGCCTCAGCCGGGTGGCGTCTGTGCAGGAGCTGTCGATGGGAATTGTCGGCATTCCGAGCTCCCAGAGTGGAAGTGGGCCTGGCCCAGCTTTATTAATTGCAAATTAATGCTGTGCTGGGTGCTATTTCCGTGCTTGCTTCTTCCACCAGCAGGAATGCAACCCGAAGCTGTGCATTGCTCTCATTCTTTCTGCCTGTGACCAGAAGGGTGGATATTTTTAGAAACCACGCCCTCTCGCAGTGGCCAGATGAGTGGTTTCCAGATGCCAGATGTGCACTGTGCAAATCCACATCAGGCAGGGAAGGGAGGAGACGGGCGCGAGCTACACGGCTCACGCCGCCACAGCAGTGACTGGGGCAAGCTAAACCAGGAGCAGCCGAGCACCCAGAGGGGCTCAGCTGGCAGCGCTCCTGGCCCGGCCCAGGTCTGGGCCCTTGGGAACACAGTGTCCAGCTGCGGCCCTGTGGCTGCTACCTTCATCAGCCAGCGCCTGTTCTAAATGCACCCCGGCAAGAAGCCACGTGGGAGGAGATGAGGACACAGCCAGAAGACAGATCGGCACCAGCTGAAACACGTGTGAAAGAGCCTCGGAAGTGGGTGTGAGATGAGGGGCATCTGCCCCGGAAGTCAGACGTGTGAGCTCCTCTCCCCGAGCGACAATCCTTCACAGCAAGCCACACACTCTTCAGAGTCCACGGGAGACGGGCTGTGTGACACGCTTGCTGGAATCAGGCACGAAGACCTCAGGCTCCCTTTGTGACCCTGGCGCTCAGCTCAGACCTTCAGGGTGCAATCACTTAAATACGGGGTTGGAAAATGATCGGTAAAGTTCTTTCAAGCTCTACGATTCTCAGGTCTTAGGAGGGTTCCTTGACCAAGTACAGGAAGAATAAGTGACTTAAAAAATGGGAAGCCTTAATTCCTGTTTGGGACACACGTGCACGTGCATGTGTGAGATGCCAGCAAAAGTCCTAAGGAAAGACCAAGGTGTGCCCAACCCTCACCTCTAAGCTCCTCTCCCTGGGCCATTTGCTGCATAATTCCGCACAGATCTGGGAAGGGAGGCTTATGCAGATGAGCTGCTCCCCAGCAGGCCCCACTGTCCCTGCACAATGGCTTTCAGAATTCTACCCCTCCACTGGGGAACTGTATGACTCGGCAGGAAGCTATGCGCCTTATCGCTTCTGGGACTACATCATGGGACACGAGGTCACCCTGTACCATGGAACCTAATCCCTGGCTGAGCTCACATTCCAGGCCTTGTAAAGACTGCATTCAGTTCTGAGCGCGCCAGGGGCAGGTGGCAGGCAGAATCTGGAGGGAAAGTCACCGAGGTCGATGCATGACACACACCCTTAGAAGGCCAGGACCCGATCCTCCAGGCAGGGCCTGCCCGCCCCTCCCCAGCACCCAGGGCAGCTGGCTTGTGGCTCGATTCCCTCTCCTAGGGCCGGCACTAAAGCAGGCTCCTGGTGCAGTACCCCGGAAGAGCTAATCGCTCTGCGTATACTGTCACCATACTGATGCCCTGGCACTGGGCACAGCTACACAGCACTGCTTAGAAAATACTCATTCAGAAAAGAAGAAACCAATAGAAACTAAACCCAAGACAGAAAGTGGCAGCCCTAACTGACAGGTAAGGTAACTAAGGCTGAGACTGGTGAATAATTTACCTCAAATTTGCAGTCAGTAGGAGGCAGGGTGGCAGTGAGGGCCAGGCTGAAAAGCTCCAAAGCCACAGCCCTCCACTTCAACCCACTGGTACCCAGTGCTCACAGCTTCTAAAACTGAATGTACAGGACATCTCATAGACCCCGATGCAAGCCGGGGAGTTGTACAACGGAGGAAACAGGGCTTCAAGGCTTTCTGAATGTCAAACAGCTGTTAGTCAGGGAGCCCAGAACCTTTCTTTATACCCCTTCTGGAACAATCCACCTTCTCAGCCAGAAAGGGAGAGAACTGAGACTTCACTTCCTGCTCCTAGGCAGAATGGCTCAAACCAAGTCGCGTCCTTACTCCCTGGAGTAGGTAGAAATACGTGAGTGCGCTCAGCCCTTCTCCGGGATGACGGGCCATAGGGGCATGGTTTCCAGGGGCCTCTCAGAGGATGCTGGGGCTGGTGTGGCTGCCACGTGGTCCACAGACAGAACCCCAACACCAGAGGACCCCATCATCCCGGGCAAGGCAGGGCTCTCCATACCAGCCTCCGACTCGCAGCAGCCACCACAGAGAGGAAAGGGCAGGATCGTTCCCAGGCTTTGTCCAGGCCTGGGGACAGGCCACTAACATCACGAGAGGTCAGTGAGAGGCTTCCCGTGGAGCTGGGAGCACTGAGCCCATTTCATCACGAGGCCCACGCAGTGTGCCGAGCTTATTTTTAAACCGAATTTACTTATTTTGCAGATGTGATCAAAGGGACACTGGGAGTCTCCCCTGTCGGCCAGGAGAGCTTTCTCCAGCTCCAGCATCAGCCAGCAATAACACTGGCCCAAAAGTAAGCCCCACTGTGCTACTTCCCAACAGCAAACAGTACCCCTTCCACCAGGCTCGAGCCTCAGGGCTGCCCTCAGGGCTGGGACAGCCAGGAGAGGAAGGAGGCTACATGGGGAAGAGAGCAAAGTGGCCAGGGGTAGAGCTCTAACTCCAAGGTCATTTAGAAGCCAGCCATGACACCTGTCATCCAGCACTCTGGGAGGCTGAGGCAGGAGGATCAAGCCCAGCCTGGACAACTTAGCGATACAACACGACCCTGTCTTAAAATTTGTTTTAAAAATTTTTTTTAAAGGGCTGGGGATGTAGCTCAGTGCAAAAGCCAGTACTACAAAAATAAATAAATAAACAACAAATAAAATATGGGCCCTGCCAACAAGTCCAGTATGATGACGCAAGCTTGGGGCGGTGGGGTTCAGTCCCGACCGCACTACCCACTGCTGTGCAGCGGCCCTGGGAGAACTGCTCAGCTCTTCTGCGCCTGTTACCCAGCTGTCATGGAGATGTCACTCACGGGGAAATTAAGCAAACAGGATGTGAAATCCCCATGAAATGTGTGAGATGGTGAAGACTTCTGGTGAGGATTTCGGACTGGGCTTCTGGGGCGGGACCTGCAGCCCCACCACCTCCGGGTCAGGGACACAACAGGGACCCGGTGACTGCTTGTTGGATTTCATCTGAATGGAACTGAGAACCCCCACAGGAGCCACTCCGGAAGCTGCTGCCTCCCTCCCAGCTGTGCCCGGCTCGGCACTGCGCGCCAGTCTCAGGCCAAGAGCTCACCTTGATGTTGCAGTTGTCATCGAGCAGGATATTCTCCAGCTTCAAGTCCCGGTGGACCACACCGTTCTGCAGGGGGAGGACAGGGAGTCTCAGTGGATGCGGTGGGAGGGGAGAGGAGCAGGTGGCTGAGAGGCAGAACGTCTGCAGGGGAGGAAGGCACCCGCCTCCACCCTTTAGCCTTTGCCGTCGTGAGCTCCCCAGCTGGTGACCAGAGACAGGAGCACACTGGTCACTTGCTGTGTGGTTAGGGGAAAAAAGGACCGGGATCCGTTCCCCGCCAGAGCCCCAGGGACTGCATGGGACTTCTTTGGTGGAATGTAATTCCAACTCCGCCATGTGAGGGCCGCAGCAGACCAGGTCCATCTGCAGGGATCACAGGGAAGGGCCACGCCCCACTGAGGCACACAGACTCTGCCTGTCCAGTCCTCCATGGCCCAATCCACCCTGATTCTGAAACCACCCCCCCAGCTCCACAAGACCCAGGGCAGAAGGGAGGTGACACAGAGCCATCTGCCTGACAAAGTAGGACTCGGCCAGGCTGGGGGCTGAGCCCCAGGACAAGCAGAGCGCGGAGGAGCTTCCTCCTCAACCAGCGGCCTGCACACTTCCTTTCCCTATCTGACTGGGGGTGGGAAGAGCAGTGAGCCCAAAGAGCTGGCTGTCTAGGGCTGCATGAGCAAAGGGCAGGGAGCAGGTTCTGAGCTTCACCGGCATGCAGCACGTCTGCCCTGAGCTCCTCCGAGCACTGCCATGTTCACAGCCCGACTTTACTGTTTATTTTCCTCTGGCTGACAGTTCCTAACCTCTCCAAAGCGCTGCCTGCAGAGATGACAACTCTTCTCCTAATCGGAGCCCCGGAGAGGCGTTTTGTATCAGACACGCACACCACCGAGTCTCCTGACGCAGAGCCGGCACAGCAGGTACCTGCTCCGGTTTGGTTTGAACATTTGGGAGGCACTGTTCCCTTCCCAGCTTTCACAGGGAGATGGGAGATTCATACTGAATCCAACGTTCACGAATTCCCAATAATGAAAACATTGTGAGGGCTTTCCAGGGACCCCAGACATGTCACAAAATGCTGTCCCCAAAGAGAGGACGGGCACTGCTCATGGGTGGGGCCTGGGACCTGAATCGTGGTGACTTTCTTCCCCCTCGTTTGTCAGTCCTCCTGCATCATGAACAGAGAAAGCATCGCTGAGTTGCGGGACCCTGGCGGCCAGGCGGCCGTACCTTGTGGCAGTAATGCACAGCAGACACGATCTGGCGGAAGAAGTGCCGGGTCTCCCTCTCGCTGAGGCGTCTCCGCTCGCTGATGTAATCGTACAGCTCGCCCTTGCTGGCGTACTCCATGATGATCACAATCTTATCTGTGTTCTCAAACACTGAGGGGAAGAAGCAACAGACAGACCCGTTTATCTACCAAGCTCCAGTGCGGTGGCGGGCGGGGGGACAGTGGGGATGGCGCAGAGTGAGCTGGTGGGGAGGCCACAGCTACCGTGGGTTCAGGGCATGGGCCACGCTCAACAGCAGGGGACTCGGGCGGCTGCCCAGCCAGGGGACAGTGGCAGCCACACCGTGGCTCCTGGACAAGCCGTGGTGATGCTGAGGAAGTGCGGTCAAGACCCCCGCCTCGAGCCCCCAGCTGCCAGACCCTCCTGGGACACCAGAGTGGACACTGAGCACAACCACTCCCCATCAGCCACATGCCGCCAAGATGGCTGTTGCTCCGCCAGGACTGCTGTGCCCCGAGGTGGTCACCCGGCCTTCCCACTACTGTGGACATCGCTGGCTCCAGCACTTGTCAATGCCTCTCTCTCCTTAACCCCAAAACTCTCAGCAGTGACTCGACTTAGAGTCCCCGGCAGACATCCTAAGCCCGACGCAGGGCAGAAAAGAGAAGGCCCAGGGGAGGACAGGCTCTGGTCCCCAGAAGTACCTGGTGGCAGTCAGGGACCTGCCCCAGGGATTGGCAGAGCATGCTTCTCACTACAGATGGGTGGGTCACAAAGGTGTGGCCTTGAGGTCTCTGTCTGGTCCTGGCCACTCATTCCCTGGCCCTGTGCCCTGCTCTGTTCCCCAGCTGCCATGACCCAAGCAGCTTCTCTCCGCCCAGCCCTTCCGCCATGATGTTCCCACCTTGGACCAGTGACCATGGGCTGAACCCACTGGAAACTGTGAACTAAAGAACCCTCTCTTTCTCTGGGCTCTGGGTGTCAGGTGCTGTGGCCAGTGATGCAGGAGCAACTAACAGACACCACTCCACTGGCCAGTGGAGCTCTTGGAGTTCTGACATAAATGTCCCTTGGGCAAAGACAAAATAAGTGATAACATCCCTCCCAAGGGAGATGGTATAAAACTGTGGGGCACCAAAGACCTCCCTGAAGGGCCTGTGTCTCCCTGCCTGCACCTCCTGAGCTCCCCCAATGCCCACTAGGGCAGAACTACATGCCATTTCTCACATTGATTTTTTTGCGGGGGAGGGAACCAAACTCAGGTCCTTGCACTTGCGAGGCAAGCGGCAGAACCACTGAGCCAAATCCCCAGCCCTCTCACAATTGTTTATGCGACACACACTGCCATTCATCCTTCTCTCTGCCTTTTCATCCCTGCCGCTCTGCCTGAGAGGGAAACAAACTGCACCCAAACCCGCCTGCCTTCTGCCTCTCCTGTACTTGGCCACAGATGCCTCGTGGTGCTTTCAAATGGTGCCCACGTGTTCTGGGCTACCCATCCATTTCCTCTGCCACGACTGCGCCTAGACTGAGAGCCAAACTCTGCAGTTTGCCTATCCTGGGGCCCCAAAGACACCCTGGGACAAAGGGTGGCCCGGCCACCGCCAGGTAAGATGTACAGAGAACGCTGAGCCGTCCTCCATCGCCCTGGAGAGCCTGGTCCCCCAGACCTCCAGGCTCTGCTGCTTGATTGGGCCCCCGTCCTCCTAACCACACCCCGAGGGTCCACCAGGCCCAGCCTGAGCACCGGACGCATGAGATGGGGTCCCAGGGGCATGCTCAGCCTCCCCTACCATGGAGGCCACGGTCGGAGAGCAGTGCTTGGGGCCATGGAGCCCAGGCCCTGATGGAGACTGGAGAGGAGCTGAATGCAAGCACGACTTCCAGAGCAGGGCGCACTTCACCCCAGAGGCCCAGGTGTCGTGTGCGAAGCTGGGGAGCCCTTTCTTAGCAGGAGAGATGCGCTGTGGGCCTGCTCTGCGCAAGTAAGCACTCCGCACGCAGGGCTCCACACAGCGGGCTCCTTGCAGGGTCTTCTAGCTGATGGGGACACTGGGTCCATCCAGGCTGCCGGGAGCCACCATGGCTGCAGAGGTTGCAGGCAGGACGGGGATGAGGACGGAGTGTGGGCCTGAGCTCGCCCACTGCCCACACGCACTGTCCCCCTGGGCACATGAGGCTACAGTTCTCGTGGAGCTGGCCCTCAACACATCCCAGCCCGTGCCCCACGGACACTCTTCCCCCAGTGACGTCACCTGCCTCTCGGGCCACTCTGGCAACACAAGACCCTCGGATCCCTCCGCCTGCCAGCACCACTCTTGCCTAATGGGTCACGGCTACTGCCGAGTCACAGGATTTTGGAGCCGAGTCACAGGATTTTGGAGCAGGGAGGGACCTAGCGATCACCTGTTCTTTTTCCAGAATAGCCCAAGATTTAAAACGTGAAGGGCGGGGCCTAGGGAAATCACACTGAAGAACGCCAGCTTCGCACCCCGAGCCCAAGGCTGCTCGCCCACAGTTCAGGTCACCATCAGGGGGTGGCAGGAACATTCTTGGCCATTCTTCTGGCAAAATGGGCTGCTCGCCGTGGGCGCTCTGACAACAGGTTATTTATAAGCCCCGAAATCTTGTCTGTGTTTGTGTTATTAGTCACTAAGCAAAAGCTTATTTTGCAGCACTTGGGAAGGGTTTCCTTTCTGGAAAATGAAAGCCTGCGTCTCTTGGCCAGACACTTCTACCCAGAAGCCCGGTGGCTCCAGAATGGCAAGAATGGTGGCCCTTGCCGTGCCAGGCCTACAGGGAAACTTCACGCCCCGAAGAGCAACTTGGCTTGGCCTGAGGTGGCCCAGGGCTCTGGGCCAGGCTCTTGTGGCGCACAGCCCGGTTCTGAGAAAGGCAGCCCGGTCTGTGAAGTACCTACTGAGCAGTGGCACTGGGAACCCCCTTGCCATGTCCTCTTTCTGTCACTAACCACCTCCCCAGGGGTATAAACAAGCCACTGTCTGTGGTGAATGTGTTGAATATGAGCTAAAAGCACAGATGAGCTTCCGCATGTTACAACAACAGACCACGTGCCCTACTCTCCTGTGCCTGGCTTCACAGCTCAGCGGCGCATGTGTGAAAACATGCTGAGCTGGTCCCGCAGGAGAGGCCTGCCTGTCCCCCTGCTAGAGACCCTTCCTTGTGTGGCTGGGTTATGTCCGTGTATCCAGTCCACTTGTGAGAAGACTCAGGCTGTCTCCTTCAGCACCCAGACAACCTGGGACCGTGAGATGAGCCTGTACTGGCCCGAAAAGGTTCCTAGAGAGGACAGCACCCAAAATGACTTGGGTTTTGCTTCACCAAGTTTACTATTATTTAGACAAATCCTAAAATATCCACACTCTCGCCTTTTTCTTCAACAGAAGGGACACCAACTTGAATTACTTCTCTGGTTTTCTGTTTATTTTCCAGTTCAAAGGACAGTGGGGATTGGTTGCTATAGCAATAGCTATTCTCCAAATTAATCCTGAATTTCATCAGCTGTTCTCTTTGACGGTCCAATTCTGCCTTCTGATTGTCTGGCTTTCACGATCTCGCTAATTACCCAGCTCCTCAAGAGTCCCTCCTACTGCTCTCAAGGTTAATAACACAACTTGTGTAACTTGAGAAAATGTGTATTATAAAAACAATGTTCCACCCTGGGAGAAACACTGGTGAGTGAGGAGATCATGGGGTTTTTACCCATCCACTGGTCATTTCTGAGCCAAATTGGCTAGGCCATGTAGCAAGAAAGCAGCTCAGGAGGACAGATAGGAGATCAAGTCATAGGATGCTTCCGGAAGAGAAGGTTCTGGAAAATGGAGGATTTCTTTCTGTGGAAATGAAAGATAGGCTTCTGGTCTACATGAAACCTTGAGGGAACATAACTAGTTCTGTTGCTTTTAAACAAAAAGACCAAGAGGTTAGGCTGTGATTGATCAGGATTCTCTTCGTGCCTCTGCCTATCCCAGCTTTGTTCCCATAAGTCACCATCCCTACGTGGCATAGCAGCTTGTCCACTACTACCCTAAATCACAGGCAGAAGCACCTTTCCACTCCCGGGGACTTTCCTATTAAAGGCCAGGAACAGCCTCACAGAAAGGAGCATAGTTTTCATTTCAGACACAAAGAGATCTCTCCGTGAAAGAACTGTCCAAAGCCTCATTTCCTCATTAGTCGACTCAAGATTTACTCTTTAAAAACTTCTTCCCCAAAACTAAATTTCAAACATCTCGTGTGCTCACAGCTTCACAAAATGGCCCTCTAGTCTCTTGAGTCTGGACGCCCCCGGCAGCGAGGGTGAGAAAATTCAGCTAGACGGGCAGCTCCCCACAGCCAAGGAGGTTAGGGCTGAGTCACTGGGTTTCCTGGTTTGGACAATGGGCGGCTTTTTAATTCACTCATTGTCTTTCTGGACGTTGGGTGGCATGCCCAGGAAGAGCCATGGCCAAGCAGGCCACCCACTGCCAGGCGTGGGCTCCACGGAAGGCAGAAGGAATAATGGGGAGAAACGGTGGGCGCCACCTGCAAAAGCTGCAGTCTCGCTAGGAACCACTTGCTCCTGCTGGGTCATCAGTGCTACTTGGGACCCAACAACAGATCCCAGAAGGCAGAGGCCACGGGCTCGGGGGCAGAGAGCTGTGAGGAAGAGAGGACAGGAGCCCCGCCCTCCTTCCACAGCCTTGGGGGGGCGTTTCCATGGGAACGCAGCAGGCTCTCAGCTGCAAAGGGCTCTGCCAGCCTCAGGCACACACTCCTCTCTGGACCGTTCCCTCCTCATCTCCTTCTGCGCCTTTCCTTCTCACCAGCGCTCCAACTCTTCCCTCGCCCAGCGACCCCAGCCTGCAGCAAGGGCTCTCGAACTTGACACAGTCAGGGCAGGCCTGAAAAATGCATGCTCCCCAATTCTCGTAGCGCCGGGGGTGCTCAAAGGTCTTCTGGGCAGACAGCCTTGCTTCCCCTCATGGAACCAGCAGCTGAAGTCTTTGCCATGGCTGCTGAGGTAGGAAATTCAGGCCTGTGCTTGTTTATCCTGCTCCCAGTGGGACCCACCAGGTACAGCTCAGCCACCCTAGGAGCATCCGGCAGCTCCACCCCCGAAGCCGCTTCCGTGAGCATCATCCTACAGC